CTACTCAAGTGTGCAGCCGAGACTGTCTCCCTCATCACAGAAAGTTCTGTTGGGCAGTAGTGCTTTAGAAGGTAAACCATGAAAATGGCGGCACCTGACTCTTAGTAATAATAATAGTAGTGGGAAAGTACTTTCCAATGTGTTCACACAGTGTCTGGTGGGTAAATATTTGTGAGAAATTTAATATTTACTGGGAGGAGACAGATATGTAGATATAATTTGGAAGGGCTCATATCTCAGTGTGTCTTGAATATACAAGTAGAACAAAACAAAGCCAATAAATATTTGAACTGGCATCATATTTCAAAGAATCCTACACATTTCCCATTAAAACTAACTATTAATAAATATTTGTCAGTTAGTGGCTAAGAGTATAGTAACCTTGATTTTAGAAAGCCACTGTTGAATGGCAGTTGTTATAAAGTGAGTTAATTGATCTTTTAAATCAAATCTAGTGTTTACAATATTATCATTTTGTGTATGTATGTATTTTTGTCAACTTACTGCCATTTTCCGTACATACACCCATGATGTATTCAAGTATCATGCCACAGTTAAAGTCAAAGTTCTTTCTAAAATATAAGCTTAAGTTCTGCCTAATTTTGAAATGTTTATGTATAAAGGAAATTTTTTATTTCACTGACTGTGGTCTTATCCTGAGAAATTGTCCTAAGCATTGTTATGAATGGCACAATATGAAGAGATGGGAACTTATCTAGATTTCACACAAGTTAGCCCTATTAGCCACAAGATCTTGGGTCTGGTGTCCTTATATGCAAAATAACAATAAAAATACTTTCCCAGTCAGCATTCTTGGACTGTGCGTGGGAAAATGTTTTTAAAAGGAACATGAAAGCATTTTTTAAAATGTATAAATCTATAACAATATAAGAATTATAATAATTGTGCCTTCAATAAACATTGGAAGACAGCAACATGATACCTCACTTCTTATCTAAGACAGAGAGTTTACTAGATGATACATTTACATATATTTTAAATTGCATTGTAGACTTATCAAAGATTGCATACATTCATTATTCCTTCTAAAATAAAAATTCATGCTATTCCCAAACATGACTCACACTGCCTCCAGAGCTCTGGTTTGATTCTAGCAATTCAGAAAATGTGCAAAGAGCTATTGACTCTGGCCCCAGCATTGCTTGGTGACTGGAAATGGATGCAGAAAGTTTGCCAACTCTTTTTTCCCTATTTTTACTAAATTTATTGGGGTGACACTGGTTAACAAAATTATACAGGTTTCAGGAGCACAACTTCACACACATCATCTCTACACTGTGTTATGTGTTCACAACCCCACGTCAAGTCTCCTTCCATCATTGTTGGTGTCTGCAGGCCAAACGAAGCTAATGTCCTGCTCTACATGTGAGGAAGCAGATATTCTGATATTTTTACTGTTTTCCTCAGAATGAAATCATAGATTCATGGTGATATCTAATCAGTTTCTATTATTGCATTCGGGACCCTGCAGAGCAAAGACTCTCTCCCATTTTCTGAATGTCATAAGCAAACAAGCATGCATTCTCCACAAATGAGCTTTCATAATGGAGTATTTTTACCTTAATATGCTCTCTCTCTTAGGGAAGGGCACATGCAGATCTTAGTGTATCTTAGGGACAACATGGTGGTTCTCTAAATCTAAGAACACATCCTAGAAATTTGCTGAAATGGTCACTCTATCTGATCCCATATTGATAACATTTCCTTTCAAATATATGTTTCTGTTTTTACCTGTACACAAAAACACATTGCTTATGGTTTTCTTTCTTTAGTCACTATACATCATTTGGGATGACAAGCAAACAATGTTCTTTAAAAACATTGATTAGAATATCATATTTTTAAAAATTGTAGACCTGATCTTAAAATTGACACCTTCATAAGAATGCACCACTCTTCATGGATTCCATCTGACTCAGAGGATTTTCAATATGTTCGTTTTGATCAAATAATTTTTCCAAGTAATTTATCCTTAAGTTAGGAGTATTCTTGGAATCAATTATTTTCTTCAGATTTCAGAATATGCTGCGTAGCTCTCTTCATGTAAATATTAGCAGTACCTTTGTCAAACATTGTATCTGACAGCAATCTGAACTAGGCTAGTTGAACCCACCCAAACATTAGTCAGACCTTACACAGAGCAACTGAAGAACGCTTAGCAACTCTAATGTCAGAAAAAGAACTCAGAATGAATATGTCTCTTGTTTAGGTCAAGACAAATGTCAGCGCCAATGAAAAATGAAACATGATGATGGAGATTTGAAATGAAGGGCTGGGCAACAGGTGCTTGTCCTGAGCCACTGAACAACAGGAGAGCAGTACTGGGGAGTACCGAACACAGCAGTGGTACGGAGAGTAGACAAAAAAATAAATTAATTAATTAATTGATAAAGCCTCAGGCTTTTCACTTCCAGAGAAATGATCTTATACTTAAAGCAGTTTCAAAGTGGTATCAGAAGAGGCTATTAAATTCGGAGCAACTTTTTGTCTAAACAAGAAACCTTTCAAAACCTCAATGAAGCAACAGGAAGGATTTGAATATGCAGAACATGTATGGTTGTTTCATCAGTGTGCTGACACAAAGGAAAGCTAAAAAGCTAAAAGCAAAACAATACAGAGAAGGAAAACTAAGGTTCCCTAAGCATCCTCTATGTGAAAGGAGCATGGTTGACAAGTTCCCTGCCTTATTTCGTGAATGCCTAAAACAACATCATGAGATGGAATTTTCTTTTCAATTTTAATGAAAAGAGGGAGACAGACTGTAAGTAGGGCTCTCACTTTTGAATAGAGGATTTTCTCATTCCACATCCATACTTTTTAAAAATACACTGAGTCAGTCACATACAAATGGCCTGTCCATTCCAACATTAGGTTATTTATTTGAACATTACTGAATAATGTGAAGGTGGTTGAGAAACTTAAACTTTAAAAGGTACTGTGTTACTTGTACTACTTTCATTAATAGCTTATGCATATTTGAAGACAGACTTTCAAATGTGATGGTCAGAAGTTACATTCTTCAAATGTAACATCATTCAGATGCATCTCCTGGACTAAGCATTTTATTTTATTTCTAGTTGACCACTAAACATAATACATTTTTTACTTTTTTATGGAGGCCTCCCCAAAATATTTTAGCATTTCACTTTTTTAAAAATGTGTTTTTGTCCACATCTCAAAAATAATCTAATCAGGATGACCTAACATGCAGTTAACCAATTAGAATATTTATAAAATATTAAATAAAGGCACTAGTACATAAATATGTTGGTTGTAAAAAAGGAGAGTATTTAGCCAACTTTTGAAAAACATAAATCATATATTTGTAGATCCCAAATTTCACATACTCAAATTGATATCCTTATAATTCATAAAATACAAATTCAAATATTTAATGTAAAGTATGGTGAGAAAAATGTACATGTTCATGTATTAAATTTGTACCTATGTATGAAAAAGTCTATAAATATCACATAGTATAAAATAATAATATAATTCAAGAATTATAAAAAATTCAAAACCATTATTCATTTCTTCTTTGATTTAATCATAGAAAAGTTGTGAAGAAAACACAATGCTTCCTATGCAACTTTTAACTGAACCATATTATTTTTAGAGTCCTAATTTCAATCATTCAATGTTCTCTATCCATTCCATTTCCAAGTTTTTCCTCCTATCATTATTTCCATGCAAGTAGTAATTTAGTAAAAAAAACAAAACAAAAAACTTGCTTTTTTGTAAGATAACTATCTTTGAAACAAAATAAAAATAAAATGTTGATGAAGTAATCTATAAGTTCCAGAAATTTTGCATTTATCATTATGCATTCAATTCCATGATGCAATCATGTCCAAAGTCAATAACATAATCAGTATTCCTTTCTTCATCCAAAATATTCCAATTTTAGCTCTCATGTCTGGCTAATTATGAAGCTACTTCTAACTTAAAATGATATATTTTACATTCACTATAAATAAAATAAACTAATAATTTAAATATCCTGTTAATAATAAGTTTATATATTTCTTAATATTTTAAAGTAGTATTTCTAAAGTATTTTGTTTGTTAATATCAAGAAACATTAACAGTGAATAAACTCAAATACATAGAAAGGCACTATATATTTTGATGCAAAATATACAGATATTAATTTAGATTAAATTAATAGCTTAGACTTCTTTATCCCACTGTGGGATGATAATTAATTACTAATTAGCACATTTTGATTACAGGCACGCAGGGCAAAATTTATGATTAGAAACCCTGCCACAAAATGCCTTCCACCACAGCCTTTACGAACTATGAACTGTGTGAACTATGAAGTGTCTGAACTGAGAAGATACCAGTGGGATTGCAAAGATCAGTTTAAAAACAAATTCCTACAAAGTGTAGCAAGATGATAACATTAGGTTGATAGCAGACTATCTCCTTGATTAGGGGGGGAAAGCACTGATGATATGAAATTAAAGCAGTCTGAGAAAGAATCACAGGGGCATTTAGCGAGTTACTAAATAAGAGAAATCAACACTGAATTAATAAATTAGATATGTTTTCCAAAAATATGGAATTATATAAAATACTAGATACAATGGCTTGTGTATTTACTGAGCTTTAACGAGAGAGGTGTTTCACTGCAGCTTTGATGATATGGCTGGCCATTCACCTGAGACCCCCAAACAGCATTCTTAAACCTGCTTCCTATCTCAGTTTTCAGTCACTGAGCATTTCCTGAACAGTGTACTTCTGCTCAGCTGAGATAACAGTATTAAGGTAGCCCTCAGACTGCACTCACAATATCTGTACATAAAACAAGGGAATCATAGGGAATACTTTCTCATAAAATGAATAACTAGTAGATATTAAATGCTTTATAGTGTTCCTCAATGCAACACACACTGTAGGAACCGCACACCCACAGGTGTGTGTCTATAACGTTATATTGATGAGAGTATATTTATTACTTTATATATTTTCCTTACCTGTCAAGTTCTTCAATCCAAGTTCTTGAAGCCCAAAGTTGCCATCTTTTCTGTAGTTTAAAAATATTGCCAAGGCATATCGATCCTCATACAGTTTTGTCCCACGAATAATGCGTAAATTCTCCAGAGGCAGGTAACGAAACTGGTTAAGAGCCACTAACACGTAGCCTGTGACTTCTCGAATAGACTGAAAAGATACAAATAAATGCCTGTGTTAAAACATTAAAGATTGTTTGTCAGTATATTTATGTAGTCATTTAGATAAAAATGAGTCACTAAAGTCTATTTTTCAGTATTAATAATGCACCCATTTCCACACTGTGTTGTAAACAATTGCCTTGATAATACAAGATCACAAAGAGTTAAAATCTCATTTGAAATATGAGTTGTATTTTTTTAAAGTCATGTATGTGCCTATAGTAAAATAATGGATTTTGTTTTATGAGGCATTCTTTATACTTGAGAGTTGAATATAATTCAAGGCATGAGATCTTATTTTTATTTTTTAATATATTTTTATTAATTTCAGAGTGGAAGGGAGAGAGAGAGAGAGAGTGAGAGAGAGAGAGAGAGAGAGAGAGAGAAACATCAATGATGAGAGAGAATCATTGATTGGCTGCCTCTTGCACGCCCCCCACTGGGATCTAGCTCAAAACCCAGGCATGTGCCCTTGACCAGAATCGAACTTGGGACCCTTCAGTCCACAGGCCGACACTCTATCCACTGAGCCAAACCAGCGAGGGCAAAATCTCATTTATTGACAGATAAAATGAGTAAGAACACATAACCATCAATCAAACTTCATATAAAAATGCAAGCTGGTAAGCTTATCACAAATAAAACAAAGCTGTATCAGTTTGTAAATTGTGGGACAGATCTTAAACTGCTAATTTGGTGTTGAATGTTATACTATCAAAGAACAATGGCCTCATCTTTCTCTGGAGAACACATATATAAAAATACGCATTAAAGACATTATGGTCACTAATTTGATTATGAACACAATTTTTATTTTCACTTTCTACTTTTTAATGTAGTTATCTATAATATGAATTAATTAATTCAAGGTTTGTGAGGCATTTTAAAGCAAAAAAAAGTCACAAAAAAAGGCTTTCGGTTTCATTTAAAAAGACTTCACTTAGAGCAATGGGCGCAGGATGCACTGGGCAGATGATGTTTTATTGAGTTGTACACTTGAAACCCTATATGGTTTAGTGAACCAATATCACCCCCAATAAATTCAATTTAAAAAATAAAGGTATAGTTTTTCAGTAAAAAGAACAAGATCATAATGACAGTTATGAACATGTGTGACATTGTTGTAAAAAATACACTGCAAAAGTACTAAAACATTTTATATTATTTTAATGTCAATTTCATGTTATTTTAGACTTCTTAATTTCAGATGTCCCAGTGCTCAGTCTTTGGTATTCTCTTCTCCTTCCACATTTACTCCCTTGGTGATCTTATCCTGGTTCAAGTTTGCCGATCTCCAAACTTTTACCTCCAAACTCTCCCCTAAACTCCACACTCATGTCCAACTCCCTTTTCTACATCTTCGCTTGAATATCTAATACACTTCTCAGACACACGAATCTAAAATTGACCCGGCATCTTCCTTCTCCCATCCCTCCAATAGCCTATCCCATCTCAGCTGAAGTCATTCTATCCTTCCTATTGTTCAAGCCAATGTCCTGAGATCATTCTTGACTCTCCTCTCACACACCTTCCTATATGTCCCATATTTAACATGATCAGGGAGTCAAACACTTCTTATGTCAGCCACTGCTGTCATCTGAGCCACCATCATTCCTCATCAATATTATTGTAATAAATATCTTGATCACTTATGGTGTTTTCTCGGTTAAGGCTACCCCTGATCTTTAAACAAAAATCAAATTATGACACTTAAATTCTTAAAATGCTGAATCATCTCCCAAGTCACTCCAAGTGATGCAAAGTTTTTCCAATGATGAGTCAAAACCTCTATCTGGTCTGCCCAGTGCTGTAAGCTCCAACCGTATTTGGCTATTAAGCACTTGAAATGTAGCTAGTAAAGATTGAGAGATGTGTTGTAAATGCAAAATACACTCTAGACTTCAGAGATTAAGCATCAAAATTACATTTTAGATAAATTGCATTGTATAAAGTGGATTATTAAAGTTAAGTTGACCTGGTCCTATTTAACTTTTCATTGTGGCTACACAAACATTTAAATTACATTTTTATAGGTATCCTTATAATTCTTTTGGGTAGTGCTGCACTATGTAATCTGGCCATCAGTGTTTTTATTCTGACTTCTTTTTTTAACTCTCCATCTTGTACATTCTCTTTGTTGTTCCCACATGACTACTGTGGTCCCATCCCCAGGTGCTCATGCCACTCTCAAAAGCTTGAGTTTCTCTCCCTCTTGTTATCTTCTTGGCTAATTTCCTCACTGCCTTCAAGTTTTTACACGAATCTCAACTCCTCAGTAGAGGCCAACCCTGCCACATTCCCTGCTCTAACTTTCATTGTTTCTATAATACTTCTCACTTTCTGATGCACTATGGAGTTTATATATTTATCAAATTTAGTAATAACAGTCCATCTCTCCTATTCCAATAATATAAGCTCTACAAGGACAGAACATCGATTTGTTCAATCATGTGTCCCGTGTGACCAGAACAGTGATGGTACATAGTGAGAACCAACAAGTATTTGTTTTTCATTCCAGCTCTTCTCTGTCCACACCTTCACCACTAAGCAAAATCTGTGGAGTCAAGAGAAGTGCCCATCTGGAGTCAGCACTCATTTTTTCTTGACCATGCTCCAAACCACTGTGATTCCAGAACTTCATTCCCTGAGCTGTCATTCAGGGCCTGTGATACCATCTTTCCCAGCTCGGTCCTTCACACAGCAGACTCTGCCACCAATGACCATGCACCTGGGAAGGATGGGTAGTCCAGGCACAAATGTTTGAGTGGTGAGGACATGGATTTTGGATGTGTGGGCTACAGTGTCCATTCAATTGTGTATACTTGTGCTTAATGGTTGAGAATCAATCTGAACCGGGAGATCATGTTTCTATTCCAGGTCAAGGCACATGCCTAGGGTGTATAGCTTGCAGGAGGCAGCCAATCTATGATTCTCTCTCATCATTGATATTTTTATGTATCTCTCTCTCCCTCTTCCTTCATCTCTGAAATCAATAAAAATATATTTTTAAACAAGAAACTTATGAGTGAAAAGGTGAAGTCAGTAGCAATTTTACAGTGTTTGTTAGGGAGATGAGCTATTTTTAGTTATCCTATATAACAAAAGCCTAATATGCTAAGTGTCTGGTCATCTGTTCAACCAATCAAAGCATAATATGCTAATGATACACTAAGACTGCTCAACCACTCACTATGACGTGCACTGACCACCAGGGGGCAGATGCTCCAACTGATAGGTTAGCTTACTGCTGGGGTCCAGCTGATCAGGACTGAGTGAAATGGGCTGGACATGCCCTGGACCCCTCCTGAAATCCCTACCCGGCTGGCCAACCTCCTATATTCCTCCCCAGCCTGAATCATGCACCCGTGGGGTCCCTTGACCTGGCCTGCCCCCTCTCACAATATGGGACTCCTCAGGGGATGTCAGAGAGCCGGTTTCAGCCCAATCCTGCAGGCCAGGCCAAGGGACCCCGCTGGTGCACAAATTCGTGCACTAGGCCTCTAGTTAATTAATAAAGATGTGCTATTCAGCATGGTTTTTAAAACACACATCAGCAGAAGCTACAAATAACCAGCAAATAATAAGGGCTCTGATATAAGAAGTGTTCTAGATATGAGACAAGAACAAAGCTGAACACATAGAGAAGGATCAAATCAACATAGAAGAGGAAGCTCCAAGTGCCCTTAGTTATAAGAGAAAGTAAATCATAACTCTGAACATAACTGCATCTCATATTATTTAACGTATTTATATTTCAATTATTTACATTGTAAAATGTATGAATGCTAATTCTAGGGTAGTCATTATTCTTTGAAACAATTCTGTTTTCTTCATAGAAGTCCAGGTTAAAGCAGCAGCTACTCCTTTGTTGAGATTCAGGGACTGGAAGAATTGTTTATTATAACTGAGATTCTGGTGTTGAAAATGAGTCTCTTTTATTGTACATTCTGCTTGTTATTCTCTTGTCTTGCAAAATAGTGTGTGCAATTTAAACATTGGCTTAACCAACATCCTTTTGCAATGCGAACTCTGGACATCATTATATGTCAATGCCGAGGATGCATCTATTTAACCCACTTTGAACAAAGCCACCAGAAGTAGGTGATATGTAATTCCCCCAGCGTGAATTATTTGATGATAATGATGTTGCAGGCCCTATTCACCTTATTCCACATATCCCCTTCTCCTATCCAGACAAACAATGTAAATAATAGGGGGGGAAAGAAAACACAAATCTCTCAACCCAAGAGTTATTGCTGTAACATTTTATGTCTGGAGGGGCTCACAGGACCAACAGCTTTTTAACAAATTTTGGAGGATAAATTTAAAATTCTTAAATTGTAATGCAACCAATTATGCCTTAATTTCCATCTCCTAATTCTTCTATTTTTCTGGTATTCATAGTCACATCCTTTCAGGTACTCTTAAGAACTGTCTGTGAACAAATATCTTGAAATATCTCAGTAAGAAGCTCCACTACAGATAACATGAGCTACAATGCATACTGATTGCAAATAAAATCACAGGAAACAACTTAGTAATGGTCGGATTACTGTCAGCTTAATGCTGAGAAAGATGGAACAGTCTGATCGTCACTCCGATAAATATGTCTTTTTAAAAATACACTGTGTAAAGTTAGTCTACTCTGAAGCCAGAATTAAAATTCTTCCGGGTGATGCCAAGTTCCACTTGAAAGTTATTTACAACCTGCCTGGGCGCAGAAGCCATTGTCTTGCAAAACCTTGGTGTAGTTGACTTGACAGTCACTGTGTGGTGACCTGGAGTTCACCAGTTAAAGTTTATTTGGTTAGTAATGATTGTTGGCACACCCTATGCACTAAATATATCTAAATTGAATTATGGTACCAGATAAAATTATAGAAAGGGAAGAAGCTTGTCTAGCATCTCTTATCATGAGTAATCAACAAACAATTTAATATTCTCTTTTTAAAAAGAGTCAATAACACGGTTATATGTTAATTTTGGCAA